CCTGTTCGAAACTTTTCACCTTGAAAGTTGATATTTGATAATGTTTTGGCTATTCTTTCACCCCATTGACTCCTTACTTCATTCAATTGACCTCTAAGACTTTTGAAGCTTCATCACAAGGTTAAAAATAGGTTTAGAGTATTTGCACTTTAGTCCCTGAACTTTCACTTTCTTCCAATTTGGTCCCTTTTCACTTGGTTCACCTCAATTTCGCTACATTCATCACTTTGTCCTGCAAAACATAAATTGCATATAATTAAGCTATATTCCAACATTTTAATCAACAATTGCTCATATTTTGACAGTAAAATAAGTATGTAAAAACACACTTATCAAGTTGGGATACGTGCTCCTGTTGATTTTCGGCGCCATCTTGGCCACAATATTACTGGCCGGATCAATCACCACAGGGAAGCTCGTGTTTCCCCGCCACCACCTGCCGACCTCGAGTAATTACAAGTGGAACTACACAAGGCGCTCATGTTCTTCGACGCCCAACGCTTTAAGTAAATTAGATTAGATTAAATTAAATTCAATACTCAATTTGAATATGGATTTATATACTTGAAGTTTGTACAAAATTGGAAACGGACCGCCTTTTCAGCAGATTAAATTAAATTAAATTCAATACTCAATTTGAATATGGATTTATATACTTGAAGTTATTTTACTCTCTAAGACCCTTATTTTGCAAAAAAATGTTGTAGTTCCACCCGATTGGTTTATTAAACTGAGGATATTTGGACATTGATTACGAAAAAATAAAAATAAAAATAAAAATAAATTATTCATTGATACTTCTTTGGCACATATTTGATGACATGAGAAGGTTGCTGTAATGGTACAATATGTAGAAACTGGTTTATATTCCACAATTTTTTTTTATATTTACAGTTGGAAGATTACCAGGGAAGAATAACGTGTCACAGAAGAGAGATTCTGGCTTAGATGACGGGCAATCTAAAAGTTCATCAATCTTCAAAATTTTATCAGGCGGATATTATTACGTCGGGGATGCAATCAAGTTCAATTTCCCGACGTCTTTTGTTATGACTACGTTTAGTTAGAGCGTGATAGAATACAGTGCCAAGTATGAAGCTGATGGAAAACTAGCACAGGTTAAAGATATTATTAAATGGGGCACTGATTATTTCCTCAAGACTTTTGATTTTACCCCCCGTTCTATAGATCGTATTGTGCAGCAGGTAAATACTACATATTTAGTTTTTGAAAATTCGACAATCACATTGTTTTTCGTACTCTATATTTTGTTGTTATATTTTCATTTTCATTTGTTAATGTATATTTTTAACATTCAAATTTTTTCTCAGTAAGTTGGAGATG